GCATAGCTTCAGTTTTACAAAAAAACCTCTAAATTCTTTATAGCTGATATTCTGCTGCCATAAAATTGCATATTATTTAGATATGTATCGCCGTATACACTCATAATGAATGAATGCTTTAAAATTCTATTCAGTGAGACAGCCCTGGCGAATCCTCCGTTAATGAAAATCTAAATTATAAAATTTGAAGAAAAGTGCTGAAATTGTACTTCGATTAGTAGGCTCTATAACTGCCTAAATGAAAAAATAATATATATATTCGATCAAGAGAGCGAAAGCTACCAAACTGTTAAATTGCGACAATTTTGCTCAAAGTGGAAATTTAGTATTTTCTAAAAAAAAACAATGAAAAAATTCCAAATCTCTTTCCAGAAAAAAAAAGCTGGCGATAGGAATGATCACAACAGCTCCTATTTTTGTGGTTTAACAAACAAAGCTGTGTGAATCCCTCCTGTTATGCTATTCATTATTTCGCAAAGCTTACGTCAATACTCAGTTTTGTACACGAAAAATCTACAGTATAACATTTGTCCGGCACAAGTATAAATTCGTGAAGTTTTGCTTTGGAACCAACTGGCAGTATCTAAAGTAAACGAGAAATAATGAAATCTTATTTACTATTCCCTCACCAAGAATTAGAATATCGGCTTAAAAAACAAGATTTTATAAATACTTTACTTTAAAATTGATTTTATAGGGTTTTGGTACACAAGTTCTAAATTTGACCTGAAATTAGAAGATTTACAGAATACACCAGAGTTGGATAAACAATAGTCTTAAAAGATAAGTGTACTTCAGCTTTTTTTTTCATCTCTGTTTGTCGCAAAAACGAGCCTTATGTGTTGACCTTCCTCAAAGCCGTTTATCATACTCGAGTATGAAATAATCTTTAAAAAGTACTATTTCAGACGTTATACAAAAACAGGAAGATATAATCGCTTATATCAGAAATACAAAATAGTAAAAGATGGCTGAAATAAATGAACATTAAACACTGTGCTTTGTTCCCGACTTAATTTTTTCAATTTGCTAATAAACGCACGTGTTGCAGACAAAATAAAAAAAAAAAACAATTTGAACCAAATTTGTCTTGGAGCCGGGCTTTTATTTTTGAAGCTTACAAGAAATTGCCATACTACTTTACAAATTTGAAAGTCTTATCAATCAGAACTCTTCGAGAAATCTTGCACATTTTTTTTCTGTCATTTGCAAAGCGTCTAAAAATAAATAACAAATTTTCTTTTACAGCATAATCTTAAGTAAGGAACTAAAAAAGTTTTCAAAGTTGACCGTTGCTTTAATTGCACTATCTTGCGCAGACGTGTTTCACACTTTAAGACACTTGTAACAGTCTAAATTTTTTAAATTAAATCAGAAAATAAAACCATACTTAGGAATTAAGTCTTCTCAGGTAAAACAAGACGAAAAATAAGAGTAAATTACTAATAATGATTTACAGCAATAACTGATTAAAGCATATCAAATAACTCTTTGAAAACTTTTTACCTTAAGAAACACAGTATGCAAAAGACAAAAGATAAGTTAAAAAAATGAATCTGCGTGATCAAAATCAGAGTTGGGACGATAATGATATGTTGAAAAGTGCGACAGATATTCAATTTCAAATTTAGACAGCTGTTTTTATAATCTTTTTCTGGTTCCGATCGTAAAGCCGATCGCCCTTCATTGTCTTTTTGCGCTGAGCTATCGTAGTTTGAAAAAAAATTTTTTTTCTGTGTTAATGGTCTTTTTGATCTGAACATCAACATAAATGGTAGATCAGGTTGCTTGCAAGCTTTTTCTTGAACAGGCTATTTTTATAACAACTGATGCACCAAAACCATCCTATTTAATTTACTGCAAAGAAACTTGACGCATATCTGCGCCTTACTACAGATTACAGCTGATTTAATTGCAAAAAATAACGTCATTTCTAATAGCATTAGGTTAGTAAGAAGTATTTTTTGCAGTAAAGAGAATCAATGTTGCTCTTACTTAGCATTGATCACCAAAAAGTGTAGCTGAAGGAGACCTATAAACGGCTTATACTGTCGTTCTTTAGCCAAAAAACTTCACTGAATTTGATGCATAAAAAAGTGAAACATTTAAAGATTTTTATATGAACTTATAAAACTCGAAAATTTTAAAGTAAGTTTATGACTAGCTAATATGATACAAATGTCAAATATATATCAAAAAACTGTTTGCAGCTACCATTATAAACTTTTATGTTCCAATTTTCGTTTTTTATTTTACACTAAATCTTCTTTTTTAAACAATAATAAATTCTGTCCTTGTTTCTACTTTAAAAAAAAATAAATTGTAAAATTCTACAATTTAAACACCTTATTAACTCGACCTATCTGATTTAGCTAGTCAGTGTCGCAAAGAAGAATTAACTTTTTTTTTTACCGCTTAATAAAACACACTATCAGTCACTGCCAAAAGCTATTTCCCTGCAACAGGATATACCAAAAATGGTGAAGACGAGAAACTGAGAAAAGCTATTGGTTTGCGCATTACGAGGAAACAAATAAATATTATTATGTATTAAGTAAGTGGGTTAAAAAGCCACTAGGTTGTTATGGAATCTAACAGCCTCTATAAGTCTTAAGTCAGACTTTGAAAAGCAGCATACGGAAAGAATGAATTATTCGAAGAATGTAAATTACGCTAACGACAAGATGCGACCAGTGGCACAGAAGTAATAATTTTGGCTAGTGAGCATAGTTCTCTAGAATAATATAAGATGTGCATTTGGTTAGAATGTGCCTGCAAGAATAACTATCAAGTTGGTACTATCTTGAAATGCTAGACTTAAAAAACAGATATGTCAATTAAACGAACATTCGGTGCTGCACTCACTTAACCAACAATTTACTAAGTTTCAAACTACGGTCAAAACAAAAATAAAATGAAGGAATAGAAACAAATCAGAGAACTTTTAATTTATTAATCACTTTTTTCGCTTGCTTGAATACACAAAGATATATGCCAAAATCACAGTAGCAGTTTGCTAAGATATTCAATTTATGTATTCAGCTTCCTCATACTTTGCTCTCTTACTTTATATGCTTATAAATAGATAATAAAAGGTAAATTATAAATAAGTGCGGGCTTTAAATGTTTCCTATAGTCCTCAGCAATAAAATTTGTTTTGCTTCCCTATGTCTTTATACATGAAGCCAAAAAACTCTGTTGCGTAATAAATAGCAAATTACTAGAAAACAGTATAGGCTTTAGTTATATATTTAGCTAAATTTACATTTTATCAGTATGGCTATCACTCACCAAATTTCTTGTTAATTTAACGCTGCATTACCAACTCAGTATTTTACCAAAAATATTCCTGATAATAGACACAGCAATTGATCATTATCATCCACTGCGCTTCAGGTACTTTAAAACTGTTTACTCCTACTCCAATTTGCTTACAAGTTTTGTAGGGCATGTAGTCAAATACTTTATTTAAGCAGTTCAGACAAGTATGTTCCGCTTATCTTCTGCTGCTGTTTTATTTTGAAACATTATTCTCTTAAAATCACTCGCTTATGCAAAATTGTCTTCTTGACACACTGTTATATACTTGAATAGACATACTGCTTGTAAACTTTGTAATACTTTTAAGATGTTTTGCACTCTTTTAATTTTTATCATCGTAACCAAATTAATAGTCAGGTTAAAGTTTTTTCAATTGCAAGGTTGTCTTTTACGCTGTTATCAGAGTTTAATGTTGATAACATCTTCGCCTCTAATACATGAATGATACAACTTTTCAATATTTCATTCAGAGTTACCAAAAAACTGAAGAATAAAACTTGCGTTTACTAAAAATTTATGTACTTTCGTTCCAATGTTTTTCAGGAATCTCCAGTGCCTAATGTAAGGAAAATTCATTGTTTGTTCTGACCCTCTACACAAATTTTTGTTTTTATTCCGCTAACTTCTCATTTTTCTGCCATTCGGCAGTTGTGAATTGTGCGAATATCGTATAAATTTCTTAATTAGATTTTCTGAATTTATATTATCTGTGGTAGTAAACTTGGAATAAACACATACTTTGGAAAGTAAAGCTGTGGTTCCGGATATAATAACTTTTTTCTTAAAACTAATTTTAAATGCTATTTTACCACTTTCTGTTATACTCTAAAAACAATCTGTGACTGCTAATCATTTTCTCGCAACTAGCGATATTTCGCTTTATTTCCCTTGTTATTGCATTCCTACTAAAAAATCAGTAAAGTGATCAATCTCACGTATGGAATTTGTGTTCCATTATTTCTGGCATTATAAACAGATATCAAGTGACAAGCTGAAAAATACCATCACTTTTTCGGGATTGCTGGAATGCCGTATGTGTAAGATCACGTCGCACAGAAGCGTTTAAATTTTTGAGTAGGTGCATTTTCACTGCCAGAAGACCATTCTTTTATAAAAGAAGTTTATACTTCTAATGCTGAACCGTTTTTAGAGACGCCCACTGCATCTTGCTCGTCGTTTTTCGTCTCGTCAGAAAGCATGTCATCTGACTGAAATTTCTAGCTTAATTTTGGTTGTTTTGGCTTTTCTATCCTTCCATTTATCTGTTTCCAAAGCATTTTCTCGAAAAGATTCAACATTTGTACGCAATAAAAATTTTTGTTTTTATGTAAAGTTCTTTTAAAATTTAAACGTAAAATTTCTCATGATGTCTCGTAACAAACTGTATGCTAACTAAAACTATCTTGTCCTACGCTCTTAAGTAAATTTATGCTATCATTCCTGCAATCTTTCTTAGAACAATAACAGAAATAAGACCATTTTTCAGTAATTTTATATATAATATAAAACTTAATTAATCTCCGAAACAATCGACTAATTCTGTTATGCTAGAGCAATTTTATATATTTTCTTTTGCTTCCAAATAAGAAACATAACTGGTAAGCTTAGAAGAGCTTAAAAGCGGAGAGAAAGATTAAGCAGTAACATAAATACTAAGAAATCAGTATTTTAAAGTTTATTTACTGTAAATTGCTTACTTCTTTTTCCTTCTGTAATTTTGTCTCCGATCTTGCATCTTTGACGGCTCTCTGCTTTTTCTTATGGCTGAACAAAAAGCCCGGATCAAACTGGTCAAAATCTTCAGGCATCGGCTTATCTTTGGTTTCAGGACTCGTTAGAGACAGAATAGCGGAAATAACTGACAAAACTGCTATTGCAGTTTGTGGTGCTACCGGATTAATTTCCGCCTATTGTAAACGTTTTTAATAGCTTTCACTCCTTGTAAAATAAACTGTTACAGCAGTAAAATCACTGTCTTTGGTAAATACAATTTGCTCAGATGCGTTTTTAATTTTTATCTGGGCATATTTGTTATTTGTAAATGTTATAACTAACTAGCAGCCCAAGATAAGGAGCCAGAACAGATCCTGATTCCCCAAAGAATTGAACGACACCATAAAATGTATTTCGAATGGATGTGGGTGACATTTCAGCGAGAAGTATTGGTTGCGAAGCCCATGTTATGCTGTTAAAAAGCTTTGCTGCAATCGGGAAGATCATCTCAATTTTTCCAGGGCCTGAAGAAAAATATGGTAAAACGCAGATTGAGCTTTACTGTTCATTCCTTCTACAAAGCAAAAACTAGCTTTTGTCAAAAAAAAAATAGTGTAGTGGTGAAAAAGCAATGAAATTTTTTAACCAGGATATAAGATTGCCAGTCCCATAGACGCTCCTTGTAAAAATAGTGACCAAAAAGTTATGGTTCTTCTTCCAAATTTGACCATTAAAGCTACTGCTAGAAGACCAGCTGGTATTTCGCAAAACCCTGATAGAAAGTAGCCCGTGTAACTGTCCTCACTGAGTTGTGTGCTCAATAAAGCTAAACCCCAGTAAGCAATATTCATTACAATCCTGAAGTACAAGCGACTCGAAACTTGATTGAATCTGCATACTCAGTGAGAACTTACAGTAACATATGCGCTTTCAAGCTTGACCAAATTAATGTTTGTCAAGGTTAATATAAAAAAAAAAAA